GGCTGCCGTACCCACATAATCAAGACAAAGCCAAGAGCAGCACGACAGACCCTGGCCAGGATGAGGTGGAGGAGGAGGAACTCCTTCTACCAAAAATGTTAGGTTCATCTTCGCTCCCTCCAAGGTGCCCTTGGCCCTGCTCTTTGGCTCTGACTTTGGCTTTGTCTGCGCTCGCTTCTGGCGTGCCATGTTTATCTTTTAACTAATTTTTTTCCATGTTGCTTTTTGGCCCGCGTACTTAACTTTTGTGGGCTCGTGTGTGTGTGTGTGCTGAGCATCTTTGGTGGAAGTAATGGCCAGGAGTTGCATGCTGCAGAAGTTTGCTTTGCGCCTGCCTCGTTTGCGGCAAGCGAACAGCTCTAAAAGCAGCCACAAAGCCGAGGCAGAAGCTCCATCAGGCCTGCCCCAAGGCCCTGAATCATTCACAAATGAGTTGCAAATTAAATAGAACTCCTAGCAAGAGCACCGAATAATAAATATTTACATTTCTTTAAGGAAGTTCATATTCATATTTCATAAATAAGATTCAAAGTAATTTATAGTTGCAGTAAGATTTGGGTAAACACTTTCATTAATTTAAGGTTCTTGGCCTCTGAAAACGTGTCATCCATCTAGAAGCTGTACATGATTTACATCCCAGAGACAGTGCCAGTCATGCTTGTTTGTCTCTGCGCCAGTTTCGGTGGCTGCTGCTTAGCGCACTTGGCGCGATAACCGCGACAGGTTGATGCCGTACTTGATTACCATTTGACAATGCGGCTTAAACGGGGCCCTGCCGCAACTTTGGTGGCGCCACCAAAACCGACTGCACTTGCACTATCGATATCGTGTTTAATTAAAGCCCAGTCGAATCAATTTGTGGCCTGCTGCTCCCGGCATGACACGACCTAAAATTAGAATGGCCATTTTTCGGGATGTACTACCATAAATTGCGGATGGGCTAAGGCTAACCCACAACTCAGCCGACTCGGCCGACTCGCTTCCAGTTTGAGATAGTGTCACACGGCCAGCAAAACATTCCGATAAGATCGAGCCACGCTAATGTCGTCGCCGGGGACCACTCCCCCGCCATATGGAGTACACACTCGGAGTACATGTGGACACGAGTGGCCGCAGATACCTTTGTTTGGTACACATATCTATGACAAATGTTCGAGTCGAGTGCGCCGGCGATAAGCAGATACTAATTAATAACCGCCGCCCTCTGGCCATGTCTGAATAGCCCAGCGAAGTCGTCACATGGCTGCTACCTGCAGAAGGTATTTGCCAAAAGAAATGGCCAGTCGAGGGATCGATCGATCGCAGAAGCTTGAGGGCGGGGCGTGGTCTACCCATAACCAGTTGGATTTACATGGCAAGAAATACCCAACTGGGTTGGGCATCATCATGCCAAAAAAGGATATTGAAATGTTTATCATATCAGGTATAAATATTAACCTGACTCATTTAATATCTTTTGTTGGGTAAATTCTCAAAGATATTATCTGGAGATAATGTTATTTTTTTTCCTAGAATTGATACGTCACGCTGAGTAAAAAAAAAAAACCCCAAAGTCTCCTTAAAAATTCTTAACCTTGATTACCTTTTCTTCACTTTTAATTTTTCCAAGTGGCCTTGCAATTTCCATTAATTATGACCGCGGGACGGGATCGGCAGCTTCATTGGAAAAACGTGCAAAACGCTTCGGGCCCGAGGCGAATCAAGGCCTAAGCCAAGTGAATGATTCAAATCTTTGTGTGCTATGGTGAGCTGCGGTATTATAGGCGCCACCGGTGCTCCAAGTGTGAGTCTACAGGTTGCATGCACCTAATCGCCCGGCGCCATCGCCAGAGTCCGGCGAGGGGTCAAGGCAGCGCCAGCTGGAATCTCGGACCACGCATCTTCCGGATGGATCAACGCATCGCGTTTGCATTCCATTAAATTAGCCGCCAAGGCAGCTCCTTATTAGCACCATAATTTAGAATGCACGCCCACTTTTGCAAAGCCCAATCCCCGATCCCCGATGCAGTTGCTCCTCTCGGAATGGGCGGCTACTGTGCGGTCGCCGGTTTTGTTTGCAATTTGTTAATAGGTTGTGGCATGCAGCATGTAAATACCTAATGCCAGTCCCTCCAATGTCTTGGAGCTGGACCAGCTCTGGAGGCTGGAAACTGGACACGATGCTGCGCTGTGGCGCATTCTCATTAGCCATGCGGTTTGCCCGGCTGCCCGACTACCCGGCTACCGGCTGGCAACTTAATCCGCCGGGGCGAACGCTTATGCTAATGCCCGATACTGTCCGTGGGCCTGTGCCATGATGTGCATTAAATTTGCACACGGCTTTGGCCAAATTAGCCGGTATTGGCCAGTTATTTAAGGCATCTATTAGTCATAAAATCGATTGGATGGAGCGAGCCTATGTCCAAGCTGCTGCCTGGGCTCATTCGCACGCCTCGGCCACGGCTCGTACTTGACTTCTGAACCGGCGCCCACCGAGCGTGACTGGACTGGAAATGGAGCCACACCAAACCCAAACCCAAACGCAAACCCAAACTCAAGCCCAGGCCGCGGCCAGACGGCCAAAAGACAGGCCTCGGCCAGACGGCCAAAAGACAGGCCTCAAACACGGCACAGAAATTGGCTAACCAAAACTAACAACAATGATGGTGACTGCTCCCCTTGTTTCTCAGTTTCTCAGTTTCTCAGTTCAGTGTCTGAGTTTCTGAGTTCTGTTCAGATAGGAGATCTGAGTCGCGTTGAGCGCTCGAAATAGAATTTTTCCCACCATCTAAAAATAAAGCGACTAATGCAATGAGTATTTACATGAGGGTTGGCATCGAATCTTGTGGCCCACGACTACAAAATGCCCTCCGAAACTAAGTAGTTCTGAAAGATCTTTGGATTGCAAGATAAATGGTATATTTGTCGTTTATTTGTAAGCAAGACGGGTGCACATTTGTCTTCGGTGAAAGTAGCAATGATCCACTTAAGGTGGATTGTATCAAAAATAAACAGAGGTTCATTAATAGAGGGAAAAAATCATATATAAAAAATGGGGATTTTATATTTTTAGTTCTATATAATTAAGGGAATGTATATTTATTAAGGTCTTTTGTTGTTTTGTAATATTTATGCTATTTATCATTATTATAATCGTAGCCTAATCCTAACCACATTTCATTTACATTTATTTATTTAGCTTCCTTCCTGAAACAACTTCTTCCGAAAGGAATACAATAATATTTCCTCTTATTGATAGTATTGCCAATATTTATTTTAGTTATCGGTAGCAATTGTTTAATAACCATTTGTATTCGTGTCTGGAATTTTCTGTTATCACCTCCTCCGGCTCTTGTAGCTCAAGTACCCCGTCGCTAGATGGGCAAAAGCCGAGTTCAAAGTCTAGGCAACGCATTACAATAACTCCGAGTTTCGTGTTGGTTCTTTTGTTCTGTTCAGTTTGTTTATTAATTTACCCATTTATATATAGTTTTTCCAAGCTTGCGGTTAAAGGAGGAGTTGGAGTTGGAGTCGGAGTGAAGCTGGAGTCGGTGGCTTTTCATGGTTCAGAGATGCGGGGACGTGTGACTGCAAATTATAAGGCCGGACCGGACCACATAATAATAAATGAAAATGTCTGTAATTCTCATGTGCAAAAGGAGAGGCCCTTGCTTATTATGCAGCTCATTTGCGAAGAGGGCTGGCAGTTCCCGCGGTCCCTCAACTTCTCTCTCCACAATATAGTCTCGGGAATCGGAAGTTAAGCTAAGCAAATATAGGCAGCGGCGTGTAAATGAACTCTGCACAGCTCTGACCTGCTCTCAATCGATAAAAAAAAGTGCTGTTGAGGGAGTTGAGCCCTGGCATTTGGTTTGCTTTTTGGGTTTTTTAGCGCCTCGAAAAAATTACGGGAGCCGCTTGATAAGTCCACAACGGACAGCTGTTCGGGGCATCTATCATATGGCGGGGCTTACCGCCTGACATGGGAACATCCGGTGGCAGGAACGCCATGAACGGCCCTCGCATTGGAGCGACTGGAGTTCAATAAACTTGTTGTTGAGCCTCGAAAAGTTTCTGCCAGCCGAACGAACGAACGAATTTTCAAACTGGCCAGCATCGCCTGGCCTGGCCTGGCCAGCCGCCTCCTCCTCCCCGGAAAGGGTGAAGAACTGTTGTTACCGAGTCCGGCGATACACTTAATTTTGACAGATTACATCTCATTATGTACACCTCGGGGCGGGCTGTTAAAACGAGTTCGATTTCCAGTTCGAGGGAGCAGATTGATGGCCAGATATTGGCTTTGCATAGTAATGCTGCCTCGGATCGATCTAAGTTATGGACCTTGCAAATTAATTCCCATTCTCACCGGTACAAAATTATTTGGCTTCTAGCCTGGCCTGCTCCAAAGTGAATCCCAAAACGAACCGATCCTATCCGATCCCATCCGACCCGAGTTTTCACATTGTTTATTGCACAGCGAATTGGAGTTCATTTATAAGGCAATTTAAAATCAATTTACGTGTTGCATGTGCCGTTAATTTATCAAGAGCTGGTAGTAGTAGTTCTCCACTCCATAGGATTCCGAGGATCCAGAGCTAGAGCAAGAGCTGGAGAGCAGCCTCCTCCATTGCGACTTTTCAACAGTCCCATCATGGGCAATTAATTAAAAATCGGAGTGGAGGAGTGGCGGCGTGGCGAGGCAAGGCGTGCTGGCATTATGATTTTTTCATTGATACAAATATCGCGCTGGCTGTCTGCTCCTGACTGCCCCATCATCGCCAACTTGTTGCCGCCTCGCCCCTTGTCTTTGGTTTTCTTTTTATGGCCCCGTCCGGTTCTAATAGGAGCACATTTATCAGCTCCGTACGTGCGTGGCGTTGAGGAAAAGCTGCCCGGCGTATCAAAACATATAATTTATTAGAAACAAATACAGACTACATAACACGTACGGCCCGGCTGGAGAAAACTCTATCACCTGTCGGGGCTGTGGGTTCTGAAGCAGGGATGCCCAACCTGGGAGCACAGGGGCTCGCTCTCTCTCTGATTTCCTATTTCTAACAGACGAAAATACTTTCTTGGGAAAGGTAAAACATTTATGGAAAAGAGAAGGGACTGCGCCCGAAGTTTGGGCACCCCTGCTGCACTAAGACTAGGATTCTATATCATAATGAGGTGAGGATGCTCCAGGATCACAGTATCGCTCCTCTTTCGTCTTTCCCGTCCGTAATACATCCCATATTATAGGCAGTAGACCAAGGTCCAAAATAAAGCATTGAACAGAATGAAGGCCAGAGGGAAGACGAAGCGCATCTTCCTGTCAATCCACAGGGACACCTCCTTGGGGGTCATTGTGGCGAAGGTCTGCGGTGGCTTCTCCTTTGTCGAGTCACCCGACGATGATCCTCCCGAGCTCTCGTTCTCGTCATTCTCATCCAGACTGATGGCCGAGTCCTCGCGGCTAAGACTTCCTCCGATTATGATTGGCGTCTCGATGGTGATGACCGTGTTGTTGGGACTGCAGGATCTGTCCATGCTGGTGGTGCTCATGGTGCTATCGGTTCGCTTGTAGCCATGGCGCCGATGCTTCTTTATATGCGGCACAAAGGTGGATTTCACAATGTATTTGGTGGTGCGTTTCTTTAGCTGCAAATCGTTGTTCCTCCGCCAGATCGTGTTCACAAAGGCGAACTCCACCAGGCTGCCAAAGATGAAGATGGTGCAGACCAGGAACCACACCTCCGACATGGTCACATAGCTAACCTTGGACAGATTGTTCTCCTGCGACAGGGAGAGCGTGATGAAGGACAGAAGGGTGGTGCAGCCAAGGGTGGTCCGGGCCGGTGTCTGATCCGCCTGCAGCCAGAAGGTCACCCACGAGATGGTCACTATCATCACGGAGGGCAGGAAGTAGTCAATGACGTAGTATCCCACCTCCCGGGTTAGCAGCACGCTAAAGCTAATGGTACTGTAGTTACCCTCCAGGGCTCCATGGGTCATCACGGTGCCATTGGACACGCGAATGGACTCGTTGTACAGGGATCCAATCAGGTTGTATTCCGTCAGCTGGAGCTGCGTATCGAAGCTAACGGCATTGTTGGTCTCCCAGTGCAGTTCCACCACCGAGGTGTTGTACATCCAACTTTCCAGGATTGTGGTGCACTTCTGCTCATCGAAGGGAAACTTCTGGAAGTTCATCCAACAGTATAGGGTGGCCTGCAGTCGAGTGGATACCAAGATTGTGCCATCCGGATAGATGGTTGTTAGCTCATCCTTGGCACTAGTGCCTAGAATACTCGATGTCTGCTCGTTGGTCAGGAAGATGTGTGGCACCCAGATCAGCTGCTTCAGTCCCTGCTCGCCCATAATGGGCTGCCGCCGATGGGGCATGTACTCCGAGAAGGCCAGGCGCGGATCCTTGTAGCGCAGCTGCAGGAGACCCTGCACATTGAACTGCAGGTCACTGGAGTCCAGGTTCTTCATCACGTAGATATAGAACCGTGCATATATGGGAATGGCCACTGGCTCGCCATTCTCATCGAATTTCTGTGGTGGCACCATCCTGTCGTAGCGACAACTGTCCGTCAGCCGAATCACCAACTCCATTTGTGTCAAGGATGCGGCATTCATCAGCGAGGGACATCCACTGCTCACAGTCTCCGTAATATTCAGGGATACATCATAGGTGTTGGAGTTGTTCTTGGGTGCCAGCATAACCGATCCATTGGCACCTATGGGAAAATATGTAAAATATCTATATTTAGCAATATTTTAATATGACAATTTTCTTCGACAAATCAAAGTTTAAAAAACTCATAACTAAGCTACAAAATTATTAGTTTCAATTCGGAAACCATTCCCGTGCTAGTTTTTAATTTAATAAAAAGTCTGCATACTCAGTTTTCAAATTTAAAAAATTCAATTTTTTTCTAAAATTTTGGCAACTTTAATGATTTAACCCCTTATAAAATTTTCAATTTTTGAAAAATTTTGAAAAATTTATTTTTTGACCGGACATAGCTAGATCGATTGGGTTCTTAATGCTAATCAAGAATATATATGGTTTGTAGGGTCGGAAATGATTCCTTCACAGCGTTTCAAGCTTCTGACTTAAATTATATTCTTCAAAAAGGTATAAAACAGACCATTTTTTTTTTTTAAATCAATGTTTTTCGGACATCATAATTAAGCCGAAACTGCATTAATTTTAATTTGGAAAGTTTTTTTGTGCTAGTTATTATTGCACTAATAAATCTGCATACTGCGTTTGTTAATGCTATTGCCAGTTTTTGACTAAAATTATAAAAATCTGCAGAAAGGTATAAAAACCGGCAATTTTTTACAAAAATCATAGTTTGAAAAACTCATAACTAAGCCAAATAATCATTAATTTCAATTGGGAAAGCGGTTTTGTGCTAGTTTTTGTTAGGTTTATAAACCTGCACACTCTATTTTTAAATTTAAAACATTCAATTTTTAATCAAATTTTAACCATTTTAATGATGTTACCCCTTGTAAAATTTTCAATTTTTGGAAAAAATTCGAAAATTTTATTTTTCTCCCAGACATGCCTAGATCGATTCTCCTTTTTGTGTTGATCAATAATATAGGGTCGGAAATGATTCCTTGACTGCTTTATAAGCTTCTGATTAAAAGTAGTATACCCTGGGGTATAAAAAAAGGATATCACAGATTCGAAATATTTTAAAACTATATACTTGACTCAATTTATCTCAAAGATAAACACATATTTATAACTGCAGGTTCTTGCTCAATACTAATTCCCTTAACATTTTTAAAGGATTTAAAAAATTGTGAAATCATAATATATTTAGTGGGAGGGAATAAATTTTAAACTGCCAAGCTATTGCCATATGATTGATACGTTTTTTAAGTGCAGATAATTTTTCGCAGTATTCGCAATAATCTAGACACAACTAAAAATATATATTATGTCATTAAGATATGGCAACCTCAAGTAAAGTTTCCATATTAAGAGATTTACAGCATTATCCTTGGAAAAAAATAAATTGAAAAGAAGAAAAACTGATTTTTCTATATACTTCATAAATTTAATGTAAGATTTTTGGACATTAAAAATGGTGAAATACATTTTATATCGCCAGAGGTTGTAAATGTCACATCAGTTTATATAGCTTTATAAACGATAAAATTACTAAAACTCTGATAAGATTGAATGAAATTAAATATAGATCTCGTTCAATTTTAATTAAAATGTGTTCACATAAAAATAAATGTGCATTAAATGTATTGAGACAATTTAAAACTAAATTATCAAAGTTGTTCGATAAAAATACACGTAATTGAAAAGATTATATATTTTTAGCTTACTGTTTTTGTTCTAAATGTAAATTGAATCAAAATTCAAAATTAACCTGTGTCGTTTCCTAGAATTAGTTAAATTAGTTAATTTTATATTTTTAGTTATAAAAGAATATTTCCGGATCCTTAGTCCTAAGCAAATCTACAGTAAATAATATTTGCATCACATTTCTTTAGCTTTTTAAAACAAATTCCCATTTCATTTTTTCAAGGACCAATTATCCCTTTCGCAGGACATACCCAATTTCAACTGAAGATCACTGAGATCGATCCCAAACGAAGTTGTTAATCCCAAAAAGCCGAAGAGTGTTACAAATCTGAATATATCCATTCTCCAATGCGTCATATTTTGCACCGAATCACGAGTCTCGATTTAGTGGTAATTTCCCGATGATTTTCTTTTTAATTTTTGTATTCCTTTGTTGAGCGCGCTGTGATTTCACGGCCATTCGCTTGGCCTTTTCCCGATCAACTATTTGGCTATTTGGCGACGCGTTGCAAGTTCGCGGACATCCAAGAATATCGGATGGTGGCCGTCGGACGGGCTCGGGTTCGGCTCCACTTCGTTCTACGTAATATCTATTACTAACTAACTTATTTATTTTAATTGCGAGCAGCTTTTAATTCCCCGCCACTCATGACAGCTTGTTCGGGCAATTATTGTTCGGTGGCTCTTGGCCCCTTATCGCACTTGGCCAAAAGCGCCTGTAAGTGCTGGGGGCTTCTCCCTCACCTGCCGTGTAATGCCTTTAATTGCGGTTATCACTGCCACCGGAGAGAGAGAAAAAAAGTGAGTAAGTACGAAATGTTTGCTCATGTCCCGGCTTTTTGATTAAGTGGCCAGCGAAACGCCAGTCGGCGGTCTTTATTTATATTTTTATAGTACATAGTACTAGTAGCCAAAGATATTCACTGTCGCACTTCACAGTTAGCGCTGGCGATCGCATAATTGATGATGACCCCTTGTCAGAAGCGGTTTATTTTTGGCACAAATATTTCTGCAACTACTTGATCAGATTAGCCAACGGATGTCGATGAGTACTTCAGTCTGGAGAGAGTCAACCCCAAAATAGTACTCGACAACAGAAGCCCAGAGTATTGGCCCCCTTTTTCTTAGGAAATTTCTAGGAATTTGTTTGTGTATGTATTTTATTGCAAATTATGAATTAAACAAGAAAAGAACCCTTAATTTCTATACACTTACAGTGAAAATCGATCATAATTAAGCCAAAAATGCATTAATTTCCAATCTGAAACCATTCCTTTGCTAGTTTTTATTGGGTTAACAAATCTGCATACTCAATTTAAAATTTTAGAAAATTGAACATTTTGGCAATTTTAATGATGTAACCCCTTGTAAAATTTTAAAATGTTGTAAAATTTTCGAAAGATTTATTTTTGTTCGAGATATGCCTAGATTGATTCTCCCTTTCTTGCTGATCAATAATATATATGATTTATGGGGTCGGAAATGTCTCCTTTTTGCGTTACAAGCCTCTGACTAAAATTATAATACACTACAAAGGGTATAAAAAGGGAATTGTATATTACACATTTTATTATATTTTATTATACTTGATCTCTAAGAAATAACCCACAATAAAGTAAGTTCAGTTTCTTGTTCTGTAAGATAATCTCCTCTGTCCCAAACATCACTGTCTTCGGCTTTTGTGTAAAGTGCGTGAGAAGTCTAATGAATCCACGCCGCCTCATCTTGAGGCACTCGAAGCCGACTCCAACCCCTGGAGTTCCCCCAACATTGAGTCCCGCGTTCCTCATCAGCACTTTAATCAACCATTCGATGCGATGAGCTGCCCGCCCTGTTTTACTCAGAACAAGAACGCCTCCCGCTGTTTTGTTCATGGATAGCCATAAAAATTTATGACTGCACAGCAGCACAGACGACGTAGAAAACAAAACTACGTCGGAGTGCATTACGCATAGCATGTGACTGTAGTGGCATCCACACCTCGTCTTATCCCCCCTTGTATCCATCTGTAATATATATACACACATACACCACTTCCTCATTAATGCACTCGGAGGACTCGGAGGCACGTGGCACGTGCAGCAGGCGGCCCACAACATCGCAGATAGCTGCGAAATCGCAGCAGATTGGACTCTTTGGCTGGCAAATGGATGGCTATATCAAGTGTTTGTACGTTTATCTAATGGCCACAAGTTTGATTTATAATATAGAGTGATCCATCTAGAGGTACTTTAACTGGAAATGGTATTAAAAGAGTGTAAAGAGTAATATGTTTTAAGGATGAGTAACATGTGTTACACTAAATTAATTATACTAGTAAACATTATTATGTATTTATGTATTTAGGAAAGTATACTATATAAATATATTCTATAATAAATTCAACAAATGATTGCCTATTTAAGCTTTACTTTTATTGTTTTAACAGATGTCTTATCTCAATTTATTGACTGCGTCAAAGATAGACCATAAATATTTACAACCACTCATAACAAGTGCCACACATGCTGTTAACAAAATATGAGATTTTTATAAAGTAGAAATGGATCTTATTATTTTTAAAGAGTATTCTCAATATTCCAAATATTTCAGATCTAAGAAAAGTATAAAATAAACTTATGAGATACATATGTAACCAAACACCCTGCAATAAAATTTATTTATACGAATTTATGGCAGATATCATGGAGAATACTTACTTAGCTGTAAGCCCAATCATAATTCACTGATATACTGTAACAATTGTTATATGCCTTTCACCTGGCAAATTTATACACATCATAAAAAATAAGGTAAAGGGTATGTCGTGATTCGACAAAGCCGTAATCTCCCCCCACTAACAAGGCACATTAAAAATGTTTACAATCGCATTTTCACAACACTTTTGCAGTGATTTTTACTGTAAGTGGGCGTGAAAGTGGCGTTGATTAGATAGAGCCAGAGAAGGCTCACAAACACAGTAGCCGGACAAGTTGAAATCAATTAAAATCACTCACTACACCGAGGGCAGGCCATATAAGTGCGGAAAATCCATTCAACTATTTAATCACCTTTCGCTGCATCCTCGCTGCCAGGCAGAAGCTTTCATATTTCATTTCCATTTTTTGAGTGCCAATGCTTTTTGTTTTGTTTGGAGCCCTGCTAGCGCATTAATTTAAGCCGCCTGGAACATGAAAGCTGCTCGCAAAACTAAGCCGATTTAAGAGCACATTTGAATTCAAATGCCGTTCGGCGAAATAAAAACTAAACGAAGCTGGGAGACGGAGTCGGAGTCAGAGTTGGAGCCCTTTTCCCCATGAAACCGAAACGAAAAAGGGAGTTTAAATGGCACAAAAACTGTCTGCAAAGTTTGCGTCTGAAGTTTTTAGTTTTTCGGGCGAATGCAAAAATTATAATCCTTTAAACGGCAATCGAGCGTTTGCTCTGCCGAAGATTAAGCCCAAGGAGTGCTCTCTAATTATGAACTGTTATCGAGGGTTATAAAGGTAAGAATATTGTTGATTTTATTATTATACATAGACATGAATATAAGTATTTATTATTATTTAATGCTTTTCCCAGAAGCTAACCTTAGCACTTGCTTTCAGGTATCACCTTATCTCACCTTTATTTTATTGCAACCAATCTGCACCGGGTATTTGAGCGTCGGGTAAGGCTTCCTCCTCCATCTGGTGGAGGTGAGTAATAGTCGCAGGTGTAATTGTAGGATTGGGGAGGCGTGTCCTGGCTGACCGTCACAGCAATTAAGGCTGGCCCAGACTTCCAGTAGACGATGGTGATGGTGATGCCGGGCAGGTTGACATTGGACGCGGGACATTGGACACCGGACAATGGCACATAAATCACACGACTCGCCGGACAAGGACACCGGGCCGGGCCAGGTCCTTGGATCCTTGCGGCTAGATGGCTTGAGGGCTTGTCATGCATTTGATTCTGCTGGAGCACGAGCTCGTTTATTACAGCTCGGCTTTTTACAACTGTTTCAGCTGGTGGTTTTTGGTCCATTCTATTTATTATTTCTGCAGATTTCCCGGCGTTTTTATTGTGATTCTTTTTTATATATATTTTGTTCGCTTTTCCACTGGGTGCGGCGGAAGCTGGCAGCGATATTTTCCGCCTTTCCTTCACTTCGATTTGGCTTTGTTTCTGCGGGTGCTCCATTATTGTTTCCTTTGATTTATTTTCGGTTTCAAGTGATTTCCGCCAGCATTCAACACTTTATGTTTGTTTTCGCCCGTTTTTCACTTTTTTCCCCACTTGTTTTCCCTTCCAGACTTACCACCAGACGTCCTTTCGGGGCTTTTCTTGTTGCATTTTGGCCAAAACTCTCAGTGCAAACATTTGTCATTTGCGGACTTGTGTTGGATTTCCATCGGTTTCTGGTGCTCCTGGGGTTTTCGGGGTTTCCTTTTGCACTTTTGCCTGGCTTTTGATTTGCGGTGCTTAATCGTTGGCAGCGTCTGCGGATTTCGTGTTTTTAAATGCAGCCAAAACGAGGCGAAGCTTGGTTCTGTTCTGGCCATAAATTTGCTTGGCTCTGCTTGCATTTTTGTTCTTTTTTTTTTCGTTGGTAGCCAGCACACGTAATTGAAAGCAGCGGGGCAGCTTCTGGCCATTTTGGTTATCCAACTGGCATTTTTTGGGGCCAATTCCCACTTCTTCCACTGTTTCACCGATCCAATTCAATCCCGGTGGTTCAATGGCATCGCCTGCACTGAGCCCATTGATTAGGGTTCCTCCTTGGATCCTCGGCGGGTTCCATGGCCGGGTGGCTTACCAAAAACTGGCCCGCAGGCTCTTTCGTTGCCTTGTAATCTGTCAAAATTGGCAGCATTCTGACTAAGCGGAAGTTCGAACAAAAAATGTGCCACACTAAACTGGTTATTTGTTGCTACACCGAAAGAACAATATGTTTTTGAAGATTGTATAAGATTCAAATTGTTTGTTAATAGGAGAAAAATTGTATTCATGGTTAGAATAATTATATCATTTTAGTTCGCTTCGATATATGATTAGTTTGTATACAATATTTGCTTGGTAATTTAGAATAAATATAAATAGTAATTTATCTTTTTCTTAGTGCAACCTTTTCATTGCCTGCTTGCAGTTCAATGTCCTCGGTGGGCGTGTCAATTGACTTTGAAATCCGCCAGCCTCCTCTTCGACTTTCTTGCTTTTTTTACCTCTGTTTTCTTTTCCTCTGCCATGAGAATGCATTTATGTCTGCAATGATCGCATAACTGGCACTTGAATGAAGCCAGTCAGTCGCACAGTAAGTCGTGAAGTCTGTGAAACCGAAAGTCTTAAGCCCGGCCTGGCAGACAATTATTATTATTTTAATCAACTTTCACACACACTGATGGAGAGGGAGAGAGTCAACGACTCTATATCTGCGGCTCAGCCCGGCCAGCTGTAATTGATCACGCTGCGACAAATATTTATGCCAGAAAATAGAGCTCCCCCCTCGATACTGATACTGAGACAGCAGTATCTCCTAAGCTGCACAAATAAACACGAAGAGCAGCAAATTCGTATTAAGCGATCAATAATCATGGGTAAATACGCCAATGTGACGCCGGCGGCGATAAAGCCAGAAATATTAACGCAACAGCCGGAGAAGGAGGAGGAGCAGCAGGACCACAGTCATGGAAGGGAGCAGAGCAGAGCTGAGACCAGACCAGTTTGGGCCTGGCTCGTTGCAGATAAACAATAGAAAAGCATAGACGCAGCAGGAAGGGTCAAGTGCCCGGGGCTGTGGAAACGCAAGATACCGGGGCCAAAAGACTGAAACCGCAGAGCGAGAGATGGTCAGCTGGGATGGAGCTAGGGGGAGCTGGATGGACTCCCAATGATGATGATGATGAGCATAGCAAATACAAATTATGGCTGAAAAGCGCTACGTAAATACTGCAATCATTTTAATAGACCAAAAACGGCGGCGCATAAACCATAAACCAAACGCCAGAGCTCCCCGACCACATTTCTCTGGAATGGAATGAGGATGGGGTTGGAGTCGCTTCTTCCCTGCCCTCGGAGTAAAGTGGCCAAAAACGGACAGCCAAATGTTTCTATGGGAAGTTGAAGGCGTTCGGAGATGGGCGATGCTGCGATGTTGCAATGTGCCTTTTGCTGTTTGCTGTTTGCTGTTGATGTTGCTGCAATGTGGCAACAAACTGGCACGCGAGCAGCGAAAATTGCGGGCAGCCAATGATGCGGTTTCCCTTGCACTACAAAAATATATTTTAGATGCAGATTCAACCACATTTTGGTCACTTAAATTTCAAAGTTTGGTTAGGCTTTAGTGTACATTTTAATAGTCAAAGGAAGGACTTTAAATACATACATTTCAGTGGTTTTATTTAAGAGTTAAATTCAACTTTTAATTGCTGTAACTAACCAACTTTCATCTAAGTTAAAGTTGATAGTATATTAGGCTGGAAAACTTTACTAAAATTCTTTATATTACTAAAGTTTTCTTTCTATTCATAATATCTTCTTATGATTTATTTTCTGCAGTGCACAACCTGCACAAACTTAGGCATTGGAAATTAGCGTAGATAAATATTTCTACGGAAATTCCTTTGCCGATGACCATTGATCGATGGGTGAGGGAAGTACGAGTTGAAGTGAATGTGGGTGTGGATCTTTAGTGTGCATTGTGTGCATTTCAGGACTTGCAGATCTTTGGATTTATGCGATTTCCTCGGCGGGAGAATTGCGAATTCCAATGTGTCTCGAGCACTTGCGGTTTGCAAATTGCAGGGAGAATCACGGGTAGGCTTTCCTCGGATCCTCCGGCACCTCCACTTGGCAGTGGATCATCGTTCGGCGCTCCGTGGGGTGATTTGTGTGTCGGATTCATGGCCGTCTGATAGACAGCTACAAGCGCACTTAATGCGCTCGACAGGAGTTGTGGATGCGAGGGGGAAAGTATCTTTTGGCTATCACTCGCGCGTAATGCCTCGGCGGCGTGCAAGATACAAAGCAGATGCTCCAGCCTCCCCCCCTATCCATTACTTAGTGGAACTACTCCCTCTCCCCCTTTGACGAGCTCTTCAGAATCCAACTGCCGCCCCTGTCAATTTCAATACATTTATTTCCATAGTCTTTGCCGGCTGACTCTGGCGCTCTCTTACTTTTTGTATGAGCTTGAATCTTTATCTCTTTCGAGTGGTTTCTCTCAGTGAGTGTGCGCATGCGCTCTCCAACTCTACAGAGGTTTTGATGTTTGTTTTGCTCGTCTCATTCGTAACAAGGCAAGACTAAAAGAAAATCTAGAGAAAATAATTATAATAAAAATATGGTTTTAATTTAAGAATATAAAATAAAACTATATTGTACAAATTAAATAAATAATAATAAATATAACATAAAATATGTGTTAACCATAATCCAAATGTTCAATCATTTTAAATCTGAGTATGTGTTTTTATTTGCAATTTAATAATGCTAAAAAGCAGAGAAACACCTTGTAAAAATCTAAAAAATAATAATACCTTAAGTGTAATCCCTTGAAAAATATATATTGAAATATGTATCTTAAAGTTTGTTTCAAAGAATGATGAGAAATATAATACTTATAATATTTAAATAAAATTTAAAGCAATTTTTAAAAGATGAACTCCAATTTCCCTAGATTAAATTTTCCGGCTTTAGGCATTTTCCACGTGCGCTCTCCTCTCGCACTCTCCACTTGGAGTGCCGGCATTTGAAACTCTCCAAATTTGGCGCCAAAACCATCCCCCAACACCATCCACATTCGCGCTCGCGGTCCACTCTCGAAACGGGTTCCACAGGGGGCTCAGCAGCAGTGCGGCTCCAAAACAACCGCAGGCCGTAGAGTATCTGCGAGATACTTTGTGCGTTCAGTTGCTGTTGGAACGTTGCACGAATCGCACGCTTTCAGGCGCTACACCCGGTCTTATCCAACTTCTGTGCGGATTGCTCCGCCGAATCGTGAGCAGTTTCGGGTTTCGTCGCTGTCGGCTTTCCTCCATCTCGGTTTCGGGCTCTTGATCAGCGCTTTCCTGTCGGCTATTGGCAATCGTCGTGATTGCCCATCGTGATTGATGGACTGCAGTTGCCCCGGCGCTCTCGGTCAGTGCAGTCAGTGCAGCGCTGAACTCTGACCTCGGTGAAAAAAAAAAACAAAATATAGCGAACATATCCAAATTGGACTGGACAATCTCAAATTGTGTGGGCTAACTTGACGGACTCTCGGAAAAGGGAACTTTTTATGGCGGTCCCTTGACCGATTCTAAAACCTAAAGAAAAAAAGAATCATCAATGAGCATATAGTCAACCGAAGAATATATCAAATAAAAAGTTCAATTTCGCCGGTTGTTATTTTTTGTTGCTTGTCGTCGAGCTCTCCTTTAGCTTTTTGCGATTTTTTTCGGTCAGCGGCAACGTCGTGTGCGCGGGCTTCATAAATTATACAAGAGCGCATTTTGCGAACGACTTGCAAATAAATAAGCATTTACGCTTTTATTATTGCCCGCCCCGCGTGTGTGCGTGTGCAGTGTGTGTGCTGTGCTGTGCGGTGTGTGTGCGGTGTGTGTGCTGAGTTGCTCTTGAGTTTCGGTTTGAATTTGAGCTTGAGTTCCCTGGAAATCGCTCCCATGTGGCGCAGGAAATAAAAGCATAGAAGGAGGGTTCCACTTAAAATATCATCTTCTGCATACAATCACCATATATACCTATGAATGTGCTCTCGCCTCGTCCATAAAAAATATATATTTCGGAATCCGCTCTGATTTGTGTGTGCTGATAAGCCCAGTGATTGCCAGCCGTAAAACAGCGAACCGGAGACCGGAGACCGAACACCGGGCCTCCCTATAAAGACATCACGAGCAGGTAAGTGCGGGGGTTAAAGGCCCCATTATGTGTATAGACCTCATCACGCACATTGAACTTCAACGTAACGTCAAGTTCTACTTCGAACCGAACTGAAAAGTGCAATGACACCGCCAGAGCAATGCATCATCATTATGCAAATGGGCAAATGATGAAATGAGCAGGCGTGCTCCTGCATCTCGATGCAACCTCATCCTCAACTCCATTTCCCATCCCACCTAAGCATCCTGGTGCCAGTGATCTGCATAATTGGAGCGCCGTGCTGGGTGTCTCTAACTGGCTCTAATGAATAAATAAGTGCCACTAATAGTTTTCGCACTTCCTGTTGTCGGCCAGCCGGCAGAATGGCAACTGGCAAACTATCAGCTCATCAAATTGCACTCGGTCTCAGCTGCCAGAACTGAATCACGGCAACAGCAACATTGTGTGTAGTTGACAATATTTAATTATGAAGTTGCGATTGCAATAACCTAACAATCTAGTTCTCTTGATTCTTTATTTACACGGGAAAAATAATCAAAGGCCTATAAGAAAAATAATAGTTTTGAGGCTGTAAAAAATACATTTAAATTGTCATGGATTTTGTTGCCTTAAATTTTAAAGGAAACCCCTATGCATAGCCTGAGATCTCACATTAAAGGTTTTATTCTATAAAGTTTGCTACAGTTTATATTAAAATGTGCTTCAGATACTTTTAAAATATTTTATTTACATTTCAACTGCTGCCCTTCAAGCTAAAGTTTTTATTATTATTATTTCTTGGTGTGTAGAAAAAGTTCTGTGGTTGTTGCAACAGCAACTTTAACTGCTCTAGTTGATGTTGCTGCTGTTGCTGTTGCTGCTGCTGCTGTCATCGTCAACATCATCATCATTGTCATAATCATTTTCGTTGCTCTTTTCCACACAAATCGGCATAAAAATGTTTTCATTTTGCGCATTTACTTTCTGCCCTTTTTTTCATCAAAGCAAAAGGAAATTCTTTCTATGGAAATCTTAAGAGTTGCCATGGCAAAATGTTTTCGCAATTACGACTATTTCTCGAAATATTTTTATTACAAACTTTCTCATTCTCTAAAAAATTGTGTTTTTATTATATATTTCCTTTTGCATTGTGGGAGAATTTCTTTTATTAGTTTCGGATATGATAACAAATTTGATTTGATAGCAGTTTAAAGTTGGAAGTTGAGTTGTAAGGTTTTTCATAGATTTTAGAAGAAAGTTAGTGTCTAAAAGTACCATTACTAATGGGAAGTATATAAAAAACTAGTACAGATTCAGATCAAATTACATGAATTACTTTGTGATGTATTTATTTAACATTTATATTAAAATCAAGAGAGACAAAAAAAGGGAGGGAAAACAGAAATTTCTATACCCATGCTGAGAAAATCCATCATACCTCAATAAAAAAAGAGTTTATTTTCAATCAAAAAACTTTATTTGGTTAGTTTTTACTGGGGTAATAACTCTGTATCAATGTTTTAAATTTAAATTAAAGCATCAATTTGTAAATTGATCATAACTAAGCTTAAAACCTTCGCAATTTTAAAATTAATACTTTGCACTATTTTAATATGGCAATTTTTTCGTAAAATCTAAGTTTAAAAATATCATAACAAAGCCAAAAATGCATTAATTTAAATTCGGAAACCTAGTTTTTAATAGGTTAACAAATCTGCATACTCAATTTTAGTTTTTAGAAAATTTAAATTTTTGCCAATTTTTAACAATTTTAATGATGTTATCCCTTATAAAATTTTCAAATTTTGGAAAAAAAATCGAAAAATTTATTTTTCTCCCTGACATGCCTAAATCGATTCTCCTCTTCATGCTGATCAATAATATATATGATTTATAGGGTCGGAAATGACTCCTTTGCTTCGTTTATTGCTTTTAAATGTAGGATTTAACTTTTAATTTAATTTAAAATATAATTTTAAAGAAGAAAGCACCTTATCAAGTAAGAGTATTTAAATACTTACTGGCCTTTAGAACTGCAACTTTGTCACACATTTTATCGGTTGCTTTTCGCGTGTGAAATTTTATTTGCACCGCTGACAAAAACATTTCCTGTACAACTATTTTGTGCACGGATGCCCCCTCTCCGGAACTCCGGTCTCCCCCTGGATTCCGATTCCGCGGACAACTGCCCCATCATAGACATCCAGATAGGCATCAGTCAGACGAGGAAGAGGCAACAGGGACCAGGGACCAGGGATCAGGGACCGGGGAACTGGGAACTGGGAACGCTCGACTGACACGGACGACTATGACTTGCGCAAATAACTAAAGTAGGGAAAAATGAACAGAAAAATAAATAAAATTTTCCAAAGAACCGCTGTGACTTCCTCATTTGCTTATCGGCGGAAAAGAGGAGGAAATTTAAAATCCTCCAAGAGATGGCTGCGCTTGATTTCACTCACGCAGACTCATCAACTTTTAATTAGTTGTAATTTGTAAATTCAACGTCAAACACCGACCACGCAGTTTGGCTCCGCGGGGCCTTTGAAGATGCCGCAAATGCGGATGATGATGATGATGATGTTGTTGCCACACTGACAGATTGCTGATAAAAGGCTCCCCAGCTCAATGTCCCACCCCAGCTTTAAAAACCCCGCCTGGTTAACCCTTTCGGCCGCCTCTAATCGCTGCCAAAGTCGGGCCACGAGTCGCGGTCGAAAAGCGAAAAACGCCCATCCATCAGCGATGAGCGGCAGCTGTCAGCGGGTTTTTTGGTATTTGGTTCTACCGTCTATCGTCACTCGGCTTTTGGCTAAAAGGATTGGCCTCCGCGCCCCCTAACAATCGAACAATTTGACAAAACTGTTTCGGTTATAAATGATTCTTTGATGGTCATAAACGGTGTCTAAACGAGAAATTGATGGCGACATTGAAGCGAGGGGCAACAGCAAATCATTTCATTTCGGCTGTCACATTAACCAGGAAGAACATCACATTTTAAAAGGGGTTTCCGAGGTTATTCTCCCATGCTCTCATATCACTAATCATCCCCAAAGGGTCGTAAATCAAGCGATTCCCATCTTTGGCAATAAAATAATGCTCCACAAAGTAATTTCTGGTCGCTGTATCCGCTTTTTTAATTAGTGACATTATAAATGTGCACTAAAAACAGGAACTTTACGATCTAATTTTATGGCTCTTGCAAATTTATAGACTTTTGGCTCATGTGACACAAAACAGAAAACTACCAGCAGCAACTTTCCTAACAACCTCTATAAATCCCCTTCTACCGGCTCAGCCGAGAGGCACTTAATTAATTTCTGTAAAAACTTTAAGAACAAAGGGCTGTTCTCGTTGCCGTTGTCGTCGCAGTTGTTTGGCTCAGTTCGGGTAGCACGTTAATTTCCAATTTGAAGCGAAAGGAAAATACTCGACGGTAGGATGGGAAAACGGCTGGAAAAAAAGTGAACAAGTAATGTCATACATAGGAGCTGCAAAATCAAAGCCCAAAAGAAACAACGACGGCGGACAACAGTAGAACTAACTGCAAACTTGCAGCCGGAGAGGAGTTGAAACGCAGCAGCAGCAACTTGCACCAGTTTCGCAACAGCAACAGCAGCAACAGCAGCAGCAACAGCAGCAACTGCAGCAACATCAGCAGTTCTCGATGCTGAAACAGTTACCTGGGCGCTAAACAAAAAGCACAAAAAGCGTTGAAAAACTAAAAGGAAAACCGGGGGGAAAAACACTGTGCACAGTAACCAAGTGAACCAAACTGTGAAGAGATGAAGATGAAGTCTGAAGCTGTACAGAAAGTACACTGGAAGACATAGGAATATGCTTGTACTTGTAGTATTTAATAATCATTTTCCATAGAAAGATTGCTATGCTAAAGCCTTGTCTCAGAGTTTTCCTCTGCCCGAGTTATTTGATTTTCCTGCAGTGTAAGGAAAGGCTTTAGAAAGTAGCCAAAGAGGTGGAAGAGATAGATGGGAGCGTTGCAGAACCCGTTGGCAGCTCCGCGGCTCACTTCGCCTTGCGTGATGCAATTGCCAGAGCCAGAGCGTTGGAGCGCCAAAAGATTGAAGGCAAACGACAGCCACGTAACTAGAACACTTGACGGTGATGCTGCTGCTGCTGCTGCTATTGCTGCGGATGCCTCTGCTGCAACAATTTCCAATTAAAGCAGTTACTGCTGCTTCTGGGAGTTGCAACTTGCAGCTTGGAGTTGCTCGGGGAGTTGGCTTATGTGTCGCTTGCGCAATCATCATACGGGCCACTTCTGACAGCTCCAACTGCATCCAACTCCTTCTCCTTCACCAGCTCCTTCGACTGGGGCAGGCTCTATTTGATTTTCTATTGCCACTCTCGGTTGCGGGACAGGAAGTCATCCGTAATGGGCCTTAAAATACACACTTTATGCCCAGCTAACCATCCCCAATTAGTGCCGCGGGTTAATTGCAGTGACGCATAGTTGCTGCTCCCCGTTTCACGATTCCCGATGGCCAATGTCCAATGTCCGATGTCCGATGCCATAATCCATCTCCATCTTTGTTGAAAGACGCTCCCAGTGGAAAAGTATACAAGTCGGAAGCTAACGGCTCGCGATTCAGAGCTAATTGATCATTAGGTCTATTTCCGCAGTGAGATGGCAACTTGGCTTTTCAACGAGTTTTTTACCCTTGGCCAGCTCAGTTTTTTCTTCATATATATATATATATATACTTTTTTCATAAGTAAGTCATAAAGTGGCAACTTTTATGACAACAGCAAACTGCCAGGGCGCATGTTGCACGCAATCGGCTAAAAAGGAGCGCTAACCTGGGCCAAAAACCATCGAAATTCCAACTTTTCCAACTTGGGTTGGGCAGATTTCCTTTGCATCGACGGTGGCAATAGTTTTTTATGGGTTCTGACCAGGCAGGCCAAGAGCTGGCAACTGGGAATCGAGAACCCAATGGCGGATGGACAGCGCCAACAGAAGGCCATAAAAGAAAATATGCAGCATGTAAGAGTCTGGAATAAAAAGTCCAAAGAAC